ATGTAAATATCGTATTAAATAATCTCTTAAATTAAACTATAAATGATAAAGTAACATTATCTTTTAAAGTAAAATAATTTGCTTCAAATTCTTAGATTTGAGCATAAATAAGAGGTGGGGAGATGTGAAAATTGACCAAAAATTTCACAAAAATGAACTTCCTTCCCAAGACAAGAAATGTAGAAGCAATTTCCCTGTTTAATCATTCATCAATCTATATTTCTAGAAGGGGTGGCAAGTAAATTGGGTGGATCTCATCATCTTCTTGGAAATTTCCAAGCTTTATATTTGATTGGATCCCATAAACAATTTGTCAAAAACACATGTGCTAAAATAAATAAACTAAGCAAACTGTTTCATTGGCTAGGAATGGAACAACTAGGGGGCCGAATTAAATTTGTGATTTCGGTTTTTTCAATTTTGGCAGGAAAATGTGGATTCACTCTAGCGTTGGACCACCGAATCTAACTGGTCTCGCCCCATGATCTATAGTTTCTCATTTTTATAGCATTAATTAATTAATCAATTTTGCATTCTACAAAAAAAAGAAAAAAGAAAAAGAAAAATAGACTGCGCTTGTTTACCAGGTATTAAAGGTTTGGTTTATGGTTTGTATTTGGTCTTTTTTCTTTTATTAGGGTTTAGTTGATGAAAATTTATATAATTTTAGTTTCTAATTTGGCTTTTTATTATGAAAACCGGTTATAACAATCTGTGGGCGGTGGCCCTACTCGAATTAAGCCAGACAGGGTTGGACCATGCAAGCTAACTGGTCTGCTTCTCCCGTCGTCTGTAGTGTTTTTAGGTGGTCACAAAGTGTCCCTGGTCCGACAATGAAGGTTCTTTTCCATTTTCCTATACACCTTTTTTGCTTTTTTAAGACTAGGTTGGACAATTGAACATGTCTGGCAAAATCTGACAGGAAAAGAAATAAGATTAAATAATAAAAAAAATATAAAAAAAATCAACGATAAGATCTTTAAGTTTGCATTTATTTACGGTAACTTTTCCTAATTTTACGTCTCAGGTTTAACTCTAAGTTTAACAGTAAAAACACGGCCGGCTGAGCATAGTTTAGACACAATAAGTAAAGCATGGGTGGATCAATGTTCCAAAAATTATAATTAAAGTAACTCTTTTCATGCTTTTTTTTTGTAATTAAATGCTTATAGTATTGATAAGTAATTAAGAGCACAACATTTCCAAATGTAACGTGTGGGGTACTCGAGCTTTTTGGACACAAAATAACGCGTCCGTATTAATTGCAAGAAGACAAAAGTGTGAGAACTTCTTGGTTTATGTAAGGAAACAAACAAACTAGGTAATTTAATTCCCTACAATGTCATGTTTGATTGACTTGGACGTTCAAACATTTGTTGAATCTAAACAATCAGTCCAGAGCTAAACAACCATGTATCTATATGATGTTAATAGGACATCATCGTCAATAAACCATGGACAATTCGAATATTCGAAAAAAGAAAGAAAAAAAAACTAGCTAATTTTATGGAAGGATTAAATCTTTGGGTATTTGTTTTTAGTATGTGAGGGTAATTTTCTATAATTTATTTTTTTTAGTAGTCAGAGTCGTGCTACAAAATAAAAAATTTATTTTCAATGGAATTTTTTACTTGTTGGTAATTTATCAAGAAAGGATATTTTCAATAAAATATTTCGTGGAAGAGATTAAAATCTTAATAAGGTAAATAATCAAATAAGTTACCGAATTATATTGAAAAAGTCAATTTAGTCTTTATCTTTTTATTATGTTTAAATAATTTTTTAAAATTCTTATTTTAAATCAAATAAACTATTTTTCTTAATCATTGACTAATTTTCGTTAATCAACTATACGATTAACAATTTTTTATATTACATCATTTGTCATATAACAAATAACATAATGTCAAAAATTACTGATTAAGAATTGAGTTTTTTGAATCTATTCAAATATTTAAAAATTATTAATTAGATATTTGAAACAAAAATAAAATAAGAAAAACCTAATTGCTTTTAACTGATTATTATTAGTTTTTAACTTATTACTATCTTTTTAATTGAAACCATCTTCTTAACTTCCGTTCGTCAATGATTAAAGAGAAGGGTTTTTTTAATTCAAAATAAAAATTCAGAATTTATTTAAATGTAACAAAAAAAATAAAAACTAAATTAACTTTTTTGATATAATTCGAAACTTGTTTATGTATTTAACCATTTTATTACAATAATAATTAGTTAAAGACTTCGAGTGAATAACCTTGTCTTTATGCTTGCACTCAAAACTCTTAACCCTGCCATTATTGTAGGTAATCAAGCTGGTGGGATATCAAGCAAGATGTGCAAGTGAAAGTGAAAGTTAAGAGTAGACAACACCCAAAATTAAGATTCCCAATTCAAGAATGTGCCTAAGAAATTTATATTCTATTTGATATATTGTTATTTGTATAAATTTTATATATTATTATTGAATCAAATGTTGTTCTTAATTAATAAATAAAATTTTAAAAATATAAATACTCATAATGTTAATGTATCGAATATAAATTCAAAAGAATTCGATGACAAAATCGGATGGAGTCACGAAAAGACTACACTCAGTGTTAGTGCGAATTTATCTCACAACACCGACGATCAACCACCCTGCCTTAATCAAGCATCTTGGGAGGACCAGAATGAAAATTCAATGAAGATGAAGAAAAATGAAACGAAAGTCTATTAATTGCAAAAGCTGCACTGTATCTAGCTAGGATTGCAAGAACATACCAAAATCATTGAACAATCTCAAAAACATATTTGGTGGTTTTGCACACCATTGCTTGTAGATCAAAACATCGGCTTTCATAAAAATCCCGTGAGAGATTAAAAAAAATTTACATCAAATTCAACTGTTAGTACTTTAACGTGTTTGAGTATTTGATTAATTGATTATTGTATAATTTTTTGTTTAAAGAATAGATTCGATTTTTTTTTTTAATTATTAAAAAAAAAACTACTAGTGCTTCAACATTCATGTCACGATATGTTCATGGGGTTAATTCCGTTGCACTTTCTTATCTTTTGGCACCTTGTTATAATAAGCTAGAGCAAAAGCATGGCTGTTCTTCACGCCTGGGAACGCAAGAGGACAAAAGAAACTTGACCAGGGGCGTGACTTGACTTGAGGGTCCACAACCATCAGAGCCCACAAAGACATTGGGAAGTCTTGCAAATGGAAGTAAATGGCAGAGATTGGAGAATTACCTAGAAGTAGATGCCAGGCATTCATCTCAGAACACCGACCAGGCACCATTGCAGCATGAACGAGTCACAGTACTAGTTTTCATCAGTGGAAGAATTGGAGCACCAATTCGAAAAACAAGTGGACTTTAGCTGGAGTTCATCACCTAAAGGGTCATAAATCGTTGTACTGGTGCAGCAGCAGCCATCAGAAATAATTAAAAGGTGTTCGTTTTCATTGAATTTAGTGATGCCAAAGTGCAAAAAGTCTACAACTGGCTAGAAGTGGCTCGATAGGCAAGAAAGTTAAAGATCCGACCCCACCCCTCCTCTTGTGTACGGGCATTAGGCTTTTGTTATCTGGGAAGTTGCCAGGCAAAGGGCCGACCATATTACCTGTTTAGTAGATTAGGACCTGCTCCTGGATTGGGTTTCGCTTGTAGCAGACTTTGACCCTCTGCAAACAGCCACAAAACACGTGATCACCAAGCACAGTTCTTCTCTCATGAACGTGACTCATTATGATTTCTTTGTGTTGCAATGAAGCTTAAATTTGTGTATGATTGATACGAAGTTGTTTGAAGGAATTGTTCTAAGCAAAATGTTGAGATACAAGGGAAAAAAGAGCAGCCTTTGTTGATAGTTTGATTATCAGAAGTCAGAACGTCTGCTAAACCCTTTGTTTTTTCTTTCTAATTGTTTCTTGGCAGCATCATGGATACAGAGCTACGCACGCCGAAGGTTTCTCTGACCAATTCATCCCTTGATTAAATTATTGCAGCTTATCACTTAAAAGTGCAGTTTTTAATCTTAATTCTCCTGTGCTTTTTCCACAAAGTAATCAAACCATTTCCCCTGTTTTTATAATGTAAGTTGCTGACATACTTATATTTAAACGTGACATGGAAATATGTGCTCTGATGGAAGCAATCTCGTTGTGTCAACGACCAAATCCTAGCACAATTTGTGTTAAAATGCCCCAACACGACACCATACCAACAAACAAGGGAGGCGGCATTAATTTTATATATACAGCCTTCCATCGAGTATCAAGAAATTTGATGAGGTGTTGAGTCAGGGATGGATCAGCTATTGGGCAAAAAGATAAACGATGATGCTTATGATTAACTAGATTGACTCTAAGATCTGTATAAACTTCCCATGCCTGCGTGTGACAGTGGATTATCAAGAAAAAATTGAAACCATGGGCTTGGAAGCTTAGTTGACTCTCAGTTTCTACCTTGGAGGCTAGGGAAGCTTTGGTTTTTGGTGGAGCTGTAACTGTCATTTGTAGAGTAGTAGTCAAACAAATTTCGGCTAGATGGCGGTCGCCCGTAGGCCTGATCCCCCCATATCCAGGATGTTTCTTGGCACTCACGTAAAAAGCTGAAATTTTGCTATAGCAGTCTCATACACAAAGTACGTAAGTTCTGTCATATTGAGAATCTTGGATCTGTTTTCTTGTTTTGTTCTTTTGATTAGGCAATGGAGGTAAATGATCGGGTTAGAACCTGGAATTCAACAAAGAAGAGATCCCTTCAACACAGGTAAATTGAGGGTATTTATTTATTCTTGCGCACCCAAGAATATTATATGCAAAAGAAAACAAAAAGCAGCCAACCTTCAAAACAAATTCACAACTTTTTCAAACATTGCTGGTCCCATCTCTCAAAAAGCAAACTGGGTAAGGGGAATAGAATCTGAAACTCAAAATTTGCAGAAATTTCTGGGTCTGGAGACCCTGCAAATCAAGTCCCAAAAAAGGAACAGGAACAAGAAGCATATGCAAACATAGGAAATTCATTATCATATTACATTATAGTACAACCAAAAACATAACGACAAACCCCCCCAGATACAACCAGGCCTCTTCCATGAACATCACCTCCCTTCAAAAACTGGCAGAAACAACTATGGAAGAGGGCTTAACTGACAAAATAGAAACTAAAAGACTTACATGGGTTCTTATCCCCTACACCTAACTGACAAAAACATGAGTTAATGTAGGGCAACATGAACTTTCCAAATTTAGAAACCAAGACAGAAGCTGTGATCTGAATAAAAAATGACAGATTTTCACAGCCTAGCTATTTAGAATATACAGACACCGCCTTTTCCGGTTTAGACAAATATGTGGGGAAAGGGCTTCAGAACCACGAAATACATATCACAATTCAGAGAATTGAGACGAAAAACAGAGGATATAAAGGTGATTTTAACCCAAATGGCCTTTTTGCTAAGAGATGTCACCATTTCCTTCAGAATTATACCCACTTTGCGGTGGGGTTGTGGTTGTAGAGGAGGTGCTCTTCCCATCACTGCCTTCTCCTTTGTTTTTCCCCAGTGCCTGCTTCGCCTTTGAGGCTGCAGAAACGACAGTCTTGGCCACGCTCTCAAAAATTTGAGCCTTTACTTGACCTCTCCTGGGGGGAAGATTTCTGTCCTTCTTCCTCTGGGGAGTAGTAGATGCAGTCGCCATCGATATCGAAACAGATTAATCTGCAGAGAAAACAGAGAAGCAACAGAGTAAGAAAATAGAACAGGACAGAAAAATGAGGACAGAAAGTGAACAGATCAAGATCTAATCAAACTTCAAAGAAGAAGAAAAAGAGAACATTGGAGTCATGCAAGAAAAAGAGAGATGCATTTACACTTCTAAATCGAGATACAAGCGAGGATTGTAATTTACGGTCTCTACTAATACAAACAGGGATCCAGCAGAGTCTTAGCTTTACAACAAAAGAAGAAAAACAAAAAAAATAAAAAACCCAACAATTTACTTATAATGAAGAAGAACAGGGGAGATTAAGCGGAGGAATAGGAAAGAGGGGAAGGGGAACGGGAAACTTTAGTGAAATGCAAGGGAATTAGTAGGACTTTGAAGAGGGTGGTGATAGCTCAATTTATAGAGCAAATACTTTCTGAAGGGGGCAGCCAACTAGGTGCACAAAACGATATTTCCTAGTCCTTACTTCAGTTGCCTACTTGTTGTATGGCCTTGGGCCATGGGCCTTGATGTTGGTGTCCCATGTTAAACGGATGCTTTGGGTTCAAGGGAGGTGTCCCTAATCAAAAATGAAATAGGTACAGTTGGGGTTAGCGCAGTTGTCAAGGGAGGTAATGAATGCACAATTTCTTTGCAAGTTCTCATAGTCAGAACTCAGGATGGTTACACTTCACACCAATCTGAGCGGAATCTCAGAAGAATCTGTCAATATATTCCCTTTTCCTTCTTTTCCTGGTTATATACATGATGGAGTATCCTTCTTTTATCTCCCCCGTTTACATTATGTTTTGGCTTCCTCCAATGGAACAGGGGAAATGGAGGGAAAGCCATCATCCTGCCATTGTCCTGTAAGAACCCTTTTGTCTTATATTCTTCATAAGGAAAAAAACAGCAAAGGCAATGCCACCTCCATGGTACCATTACCTGTTAGAGATTTTCAAATAGAGACGCACTCAACACTTAAATTAGCACACAAGAGACAACGCTTAAACGTGGTTTGACATCTATTATCTATATTGACAGTTGCTTTTATTCTCATTAGGGGGAGGAGGGGAGGATTTTACTTCTATTGCTTTGTACCCTTTGTCCAATTGGCCCCTTCCTACATCATTGATTCATTGAATAAAATTCTTCCTTCACAAGCTGAGGGGAAAGTCAAGAGAAAACATTGTTTCTCGTTTTTCTTATGCATTAAGACAAAAATCACACACACACAGCAATTTTGGGTATACAAATCAAACTATGTGTCAGGCTTCAAATGTTACCTGAACTTGTTTTCCTAGTCCTGTGAAATTTTAATAAGATGGCAATGCCAGTCAAGTTACGCTGCTTCCACACAATTGTCTCAGCCGCCTTTTCTGCCACATCAGACTGCATTAGATGACAAGTAACAGACCAAAGAAAAAAGCAAAGAGAAACATAAACAAAATAGTGATCTTTTGTTTGCATTATGATATGGAAAAAGTGCAACTGGAATTAATGAACGGGTCTTTATCTAACTAAAACTTTGAAACAAGGCATCCCAATGGTTAAATATAACCAATTAAAAGTGACATTTCTTTGAGATATACAACGATGTCACACTGTTTCCTTTTCCAATCTAAATTGTATGTATGGCAGAAATTGATGCCACTTGTTATGTTCTTTGTCTTCCTTGCTAGGATAAGTTCCAAGTTATCCACATCCCATTTGCTATCAGCTAATAAATTACCATAGAGTTGCAATCAAAAGAGGGTCAAGAACAAATGGCCTTTCAGGTTCAAATAAATGATGCTTTTAAGGGGGGGAAGTGGTGATGTTTTGTATGGGGATTTTTGCCTTGAAGGTTGAAGCATGTTCAAGGAAAAACAAGAAACTACCAATATGTTCTGGCAGATCCAGCTAAGTTTACATCATCAGTTTGAATTCAAATCCTTGAACTCACCCAAACCCTATAGTATCAGAAACTGTTTAGACAGAAGAAGTCTGTCATTTTCTCAATGACTCATTCAGGGTAATTAAGTTTGAAGCATGCACAAGCTGCATCAAAACCTTGGATTTGGCATTGACATCAGAGTTTGATCTTGTATTGGCAGTCCTTCTCATCTTGAAAATTTAAGCAATGGAACTTTCTGGTCCGCCCTTCGATCCCTATTTCAAATTGGAAAGGATAATTTCCCATTGCAAAGGACTTGGAATCAAGCTTTTGGCAATTAAATGATTATGCAATTGGTATTTCTTCTTTGGTGACCTTAGGTTTTAACAGCAGAACCTGACAATATAAGCAAGCTGATGAGTTTGGTTGAAAACTCAATAGAAACCGCGTAAGCTCTTTCCATGGATGACTCACGTCCTCTAAAAGGCCAAAATGCAATGGAATTTCAAACACTTCAACTAGTCAGCTTCACATAGGTGATAAAGAATTTGACCGTAAAACAAGTCTCCAGAAACAATAATTAATGCGATTTTTTCAGGATATGGGGACAACAGGAAATACAAACAAAGGAGAAACTATTAAATTAAATTAGTAGCAGTAGCAGCAGAAGATTTGGCAGCAATGGTCTTCGCAAGTACTCTAACGATCTGGACAAAACGCTTTCAAGGTTGTTTGAAAAACATTCTGACTAGGTAACCATAGACCCTGATTCGATTACTAACCCAACACTTTCCAATAATATTCTTGGGTATATCTTCTGCATGCAATTTGACATTTGATGGGAATCAGTTCGTAGCTGTGACCACTGTACATCCTGTCATTCATTTCAATAGAGTAATGGTTGATAGGACGAACACTGAGGCAGGTGTCAGCTGCCAAGCTATTGTTAGGACGAACACTGAGACAGCAAGAGTGTTTGTTCAGTCCCAATCTGTCACTGGTTTGCTATTGTCTCTTCTTGTTCGTACACCTTGAAGAACCCAAGACCCGATGGACAAGGTGGGCAAGTCGCTTTCATGTGTGGGCTCCAACTCTGACCATATCTACAGTACTGGCGGACAAGCAACGTCAATATGAAAACTAAAAACAACTTGTCTGAAAATAGCGTGTAAAAGACTGGACCATTCCCTACGACTCTTAATCATGTCCATGGTTCAGTATTGAAAAACATATGTTAAGGTAATAGCAAGCTGGGCATCTCTCAGTTTCTCTTGAACCCAGATACCCCCCTTAGTCAGAGGAGGAGCGGATTTGGGGCTAGTGGGGCCCCTCCGCCCCCTCTCCTCAATAATTTTTAAATTTTTATAATTTATTTATAATTTTAAAAATTTTTATAATTTCATCCCTTCAATAATTTTTAAAATTTTATAATTTGCTTTTATTTTTTAGAAATTTTATAATTTCATCCATATAAAAAGTTTAAAAATTTTTAACATATTTTTATTTTTTTGAAATTTTATAATTTGACCCTTATAATAATTTTTTGTTTAGTGAAATATCTCACAACAATTAGTTAATAACTAATTTTAATAAGACTAAAGCAAAACCAATTACATTTTCAAAAAAAAATTATAAAATCAATTGCAATATAATTATTTTCAAACCTCACTTCTCCAATACTTCATAACTACTACTTGCTCTCTTTCATTTTACTAAATGCTATAGAAATTTAAAAAAAAATTATTTTTTTACATTTTTTTGCTTGTCAAATTCTTTGTGTATAAAACTTTTAGTCAGTAACTTAATTTTCATACCATGATAATTGGTAAGATTGGTTTATTTACTTTTTTTTTAATATTTTTAATTTTAAAAGTTTTCTCTATTTAATAATTTATATTTAATGATTTTGATTTAAGATTCACCATCTTAGTCATTTTTTGTTGAAAGCAATTTGATTAAGCACCTAAGGTTAGTTATTACTTATTTATTTAAGGATTGCTTGATTGTTTTCCCACAAATTAGTTATGCTTTTCTCTTTGCTTAGATTCTTGTGAACAATTAAGTTTTTTATTTAGAGATTACTTTCTTATTGAATTGTTTATTAATATTGTATTTAATTTTTGTGATTAATTTTAGATAATTGCTTTTTCATTGAATTGTTTATTAATAGTCCTTAATATTTTGTAAGATAGTGCTTCCCATTGAGACTTTTGTTATTATATTTGTGAATTTTTGTTTGTTGTTAAGTTTATCTAGAAATTGAGATTATTGTCATTATTAAATTATTTATGATTATACCAGTTAATTCTTTTAAGTAAATTATTAAGATTGATTCATTTGAATAATTTTCAAGATTTATTTGTATAATTTTTATATGAATTTGTTTTTATCTAAGTTGTTTTATATTATTGTCAAACATTGAATTTCTATATGACTGTTTAATTTATAAACATTGTTTTTGATTTTTCGTCTCCCCGAACATAAAATTCTGACTCCGTCACTAGCCCACAATATCTTCTTTTAGGGGATAAGTCTTCCCTCCAACATGTTGAACATAGGCCATGAATCCTATTCTAGCTAGTAGGTGAAATTGACAAATGGTTTTTTGGTGTGAAATTGAGAATACTTTATTGCTTCATTCCTTATTTAATTAATACTAGTTTGGATCATCAAAATCATCCTTTAATAGAATTTGCATTTAAGTACCCAAGATTAATTGTTATTCTCAGAATTTTATTTTTATTTTTTTTTCAAATTAAAGAAATTTGGTTCCTTATGATTTGTTGTTCTTGTTTTTAAGTTTAAATAATTCTTAATTTTAATGAAAAATTGATAATTGTCATATTTAATATCAATTCGTGTTTTTGGTTCACATGGCTTGATAATATGATCACATGACATAACTAATATAACAATCGTATGATTACATCAACTCTTATATGGTCACATCATCAAGCCACTTCAAAAGCCATGTAGACAAAAAAATTGGATTAATATTAGACGTAATGTTCAAATAAATCTTTAAACTATTCAAGAATATTTAAATAAATTTTTATTTGTTTATTACATTTAATCAAGTCTCCATATTTTTATTTTGAGTCAAATAATTCTTTATTACTAATAGTTAACTAATTATCAATACTAAAAATGCCACTGATCATTTTATATCTACATGTCATTAATATGATACTAATGTGAAAAGTAAAAATCATACCATTATATCAAATTAACATGTTATGTCATCACTAATTATCAAACACAACATCATAATTAATTATTATATTTTAACATACTACGCTAAGGTCATGCTACATAATTAAAAATAATATTTTAACGAAGTCAATCATTAGTCATAAGAGTTTGTTGGATTTTATATAAAAAATATAAAAATTTATTTGATTTAAAATAAAAGTATAAAGATGTAATTGAAAGTAATAAAAGTATAAAGACTAATTTAAATTTTTTTGAATGATTTTAAAAATTTCTACCGGAATAAATCGAAAATTAAAAATAAGATATCGGACTCCAGAATAATGGGCCGGACCGTTTATCCCAGCAAAGACAAAGCCCATTCTAAAAGACAAGTCCAAGCCGAAACGACGAGCGGTTAAGAGCTCCCATTAATTGGCGGGAAAGACCAGCAAAAAAATAAACCAATAGAGAAAAGAAAGTGAAGAATCAAATTCGAAGAGAAAATGGCGAACAAGCTGATCAGCGAGATCCCACTTCCCAAATCCATTGCCAATGTCTTTGCCGCCCGTAATATTTCTACTGCCAAGGTTTTTCTTTCTTCTCTTCTTTTGTTTATGTTTAAAGCTCTTCAATTTCATTAATATGATTAGGAGTAATATGTTGTAATCAATTTGATTTGTTTTTCTAAGGACGCGTTATCTTTAACGGAATTTGAGCTAATGGAGTTGTTAGATGTGGGATTGACGGAAGTAAGATCTGCATTATCGCAAATCAGTGAGATCGTTGCTCCACCGTATCAAACTGTAATAAACAAAAAATTTACACAAGTTTTTTTTTTCTTCAATTGATTGGATTTTGTCCTTTTTCTTTTTATTAAATTCTACAAATATATAGGTTTTTTTTATTAATTTCGTCTTTCACAGGCACTTTCTTTAATGGAACAGCGGTTTCAAAACGAGCATTTGGGAGGCCATTTTCCAACAGGCTTGAAAGGATTGGATTCAGCTTTATGTGGGGGAATTCCATTTGGGGTTTTAACTGAATTAGTTGGTCCGGCTGGAATTGGCAAAACCCAAGTAAAGAAAAAGAATTTTTACATTATTTTTAGTAATGGGTTGTTTGAGAAGTCTCTTAAAGATTAAAACTTTTGGGTGCTTTGATTGGTTTTCCATAATAAAGCTAGGACCTTTATTATTATTCAACTGAAAAGTTGAACTTTGCTTTTTATTTGTAATTGCATCTGAGGTTGAATGTTTTAGTAAGGAAACAAGTAATCGAAGATTAGTTTTTTTTTTGGTTAAATTGCAGTTTTGTTTGAAGCTTTCGCTATTGGCTTCACTGCCTACAAATTATGGAGGCTTGGATGGTCGAGTGATATATATTGATGTTGAATCTAAATTCAGTTCAAGAAGGTAGTTACAGCAGGCTTTCTCAAAAATTGTTTATCTTCAGGTTTCTAATTCTGTACATCCTTCACTTTTACAAAGAAACTACTGAATTTTGAACTTACAGATCTGCTCTTTGTCAGGTTGTTAGAAATTGGATTGAGAAGTTTTCCTGAAATATTTCAGATGAAAGAAATGGCACAGGAGGTCTGTGGGATGTTATTTTTCTAGCTTTTCCTTCCCCGTTTCTTTGCTTTATACTATTGCCTAAGAATAAAAAGGGTCATGCATCCTTTGTATCGCAGATGGCTGGTAGAGTTTTTGTTTTGCGGCCATCATCACTTTCTGAATTTACCCAGAGGTTAGTCCTTGAATGTGGATGTCTAAACCGACTTAAACCTGATAAGTACCTCTTATTATTATGTATTATTGCTTGAACTTCTATGCTGATTTAACAAGATTTTATTAACATCACTATCTTTTGTTCTGTTATTTATCCCCCAGTTTGCAACAAATCAAAGTTTCACTCCTCCAAAACCAAGTGAAGATGCTAGTAATTGACAGCATGGCTGCTCTTGTATCAGGGTAAATTCTATATTCTAATGACTTCAACCTGCCAAGCCCATCATTCTTACCTCCATTATCTGGTGAGGCTTCTGTTGTAAATGGCATGTCTTCTAGTGTTTTTGGGATAAATATAACTTTATCGTTAGCTTGCTATGTTAGTTGTCTTATAGCATTTCTTCTCTTCTTTTCATCTCTAACCTCTTCACTGATAGTTCGAAATATTTGCAGAATATTTTTTCTATTATGAGAGCTATGACAGGTTTATTTGGTTCAGGGAACATGAGCAGGGGGTACATAGACAACAAACATTGAGTTGGCACATTTCGTTCATTAAGTAAAAATTCACATCCTCTTAATTTGTGGCTCTTACTTGAGTTAATTGTCTTTTCAGTTCCACCGATAATGTTTTTTGTTTTACATATGTGTAGGTCACTGGCTGAATTTTCACGAATTCCTGTTATAGTTACAAACCAAGTGAGATCTCAAAGCCATGATGAAGCCTCTCAATATTCTTTCCAAGGTAAAATAGCATAATCAGATTGTAAAATATTTTCCCCGATTTATTCACACAAATAGAATATCTGTCTGGTGCAGTTCAGAGTAGGGATGGGATTGTAGAGACTCTGACAAGATATGATTCTCATCTTGTTGCCGCTTTGGGGATTCATTGGGCTCATGCTGTAACCACTCGTTTGGTGCTGGAAGCCAAATCAGGTTGCCACAATGCTTTACATGATTCTCCTAATAAGTGAACTCGTTTAGTAGGAGATGTTGGGATGTGCTTTCCTTCTGCATGTTGGAATGAGATGCTTTTATTAAATGGGTTACGTTTCCAGTCTATTTTCTTTAAGAATGGTGTTTGCTCGTGTCCTAGAATTTGGGAAAACTTAAATAATTCAATTTAGATTTCATACTTATTTAAAGATTCATGTGCTTATCATTTGTCATAAAATTTTGCAACTTCTAATGCCTATTTTATGTTTTTCCTTCTTTTTTGTGAAACAAAAGCAAGAAACCATGTGTACGACATGCAAGATGCCTTTTTTTTTCAGGAAATGTTCTCAAAATAGAATTCCTATTTCCAGTTTACCGCCTTCTAACAAGAGCCAAATCTCATATATCCATTTTCTTATGCACTTAGAAATATTCCTTTCTCTTGCAGGTCAGAGGTTTATAAAGGTGGCAAAATCTCCAATATCTCCCCCTCTGGCTTTTCCTTTCCACATAACTTCATCAGGGATTTCATTGATAAGTGATGAAGGAATGGAACTGATGGGGCCTGAGATAAACTCAATTCACTGTCAAGGTTCTTTCCTGAGCCTTGCTTTTTGTGAATCTGCTGATCATTCTGAATGCATTATTAAAACTACCAATGGCATATATTTAGTGCTGGAACATTTGCAGAGCAACCCTCTCTTTGGATGGATTTTACATATGTGATTTCTCGTAGAAAGACAACAGCAGTCGAAGAATTGCTATGCTTCTTAACTAGATGTCTTTGAAAATGAATTTCCTACTCCAAATACATTACTTATACACATGATTCAAGCACATTTGCAATATGACTTTCTCTTCAGGTTATATTACAAATAGATTCATGAATCTTCTATTCTAATGACAAAACTGCAGGGCACAATGAAATAATCAATTTCAGAATGGATAGCTTAGTTTGATCAATCCAGGCACAATCTTCGTGAATCATTCAGGCTGGCTTCAAGAGCTTTACTGCTATGATATTTGACAGTTCGTTTTGAACCACCTTTCCCCCCATTTGCATTTACAGAAAAGAAAGATTAGCACAATTCATTGTTTATCTGGATGACAAAGGTATCTTGTTGGTCAGTGAATCCTTATTGAAGACCAAAGTTTCTTCCCACATCTACAATCTTGGGATTTTCTTCTTCTTGAATACTTGTAAATCTTGTATCAAGCATGTAAATTGCTTTTTGGGATATCTAATCTCTTATATGCAGAGAAGATTAATGTCTCTAGGCTTTCCTATTTCATTTCAGCCTCTTTTCGTATTGGGTCAGTTTCCTCTCAGGCCTACTGTTGGCCCAGTTTTTCTTCAATGAAGTTGTGGTCAAGGCAAAGGATTAAGAGAAATGATGGCAAGTCACAATTATCAAATGAAAAAGCAAAAAGAAAACTATTTCAATTTCACAAATTCAGGTTTTACGCCAACCTTAAGTTGGCAATTGTTAATTATGGAGACCTAGCTTACTTATTCTTAATGTTTGTAGGTGACAATCCATACATCAATAATAATAATAATAATAATAATAAATGATGGTAAATGAACATGGTTCAGCACCATCTCTTCATTAAAAATCATAAAATTGAGACAAGCAATGAGCAAAGCATTCATGGTAGGTGTTGGGGGGTTTAAAGATACAAGAAGAATATCATGTTTATTAATTATTCTCTATGTCTTTGCAGAACACTGGATAACTCTGCTGATTTGGGTTTGGGGAAGATATTTATGATCAAGAGCTGCTTTTCTTTATTACAAGTAGGTAAGAAATTAACTGTGCAGCTCTTTGCTTTTGGCAATAAACAATTTGTTTATGTTAACTCCAGAGGAAACATGTATCTATGCATCAGATCTTAGGGTTTTTATTCTGCATTGGGAGAAGAGATGACCCTCTCAGCCAATCCCTGGTTTACATGGGAAAAAGAACAGAGATTGCAGCAACAACCCTTTCTTTTTATTGGGGAAAATAAAGTGCACATTGTCATGTACTAGGATTCATGAATGTGGACCAAAACCCATAGAAACAAATCCTGGGGATGCTGGAATAATGATCTCAAAGATAAAGACATGGGTTAAACATTGAGTTAAGTCCAAGGTTTTCCATAGAAATTAATCAATCCATCTACTTTATGACATGATATTGCAACTGCCCTTTTGATTGGATCCCATCAACAGTTCCTTTTCACTCATCTTTTCAATCAATTTCCTTGTCTGGTTTCCCTCGTAATTTTGCTGAAATTTTCCAACTCATCCTGGATTTTTTCTTTGCCTTGGTTGGTCACTATAATAATTATGGTATTTAGTACTGTCATTTTCTCGGAAAATACAAACCATTGAATGATCCATCAGGCTATATTCTCTCCCGTCTCTAAATATTTGTCTTTATTTAAATTTTTACGGAAATTAAAATCCATCCCAACCCCTTACCATCTGAAAAATTAGCATTCCTTAATGAAAAAAAAGAACTACACCTGGTTTGAGTGTGATCTTTACCTAGAATTGCTTGCATCCTACTCGATCAAGATTCAAGACCATCTTATCCCTAGTCAATGGGAGAGACCTTTCAATTTCCAATAATAAAAAAGAAAAAAAAAAAGAAGAGGAGAGATAATGATACTTTGGAGAAGAGTCCAAAGATTAGAATGATTTTTAAGGTTTCTTACTTTATTTTTATTTCCCTCTTTAGCTTTTGATTAAACTATGATTAATTCCCTCTCTCTATTTGAATAGTAAATCAATCCACTAAACACCAAGTCACCAGCCTGACTTAGCTTTATTCAAACCCTTGTCGGATATGTCTATCTTGACCATGTTTGGCTTTTAAGCGCCACACACACACAGATCACAACTCAAACCTTAATAAACAAAGATTACGTTCATGATTACATTGACTAATGCATTCGGGGTATTGCTTTTATTAGCCCATGGTTTTCACATCTTAATCTCCTCGAATTTTTATTACTTTATTTGTCCTCATTTTGTAACTTAATATATTACCTAGTGACATGGTATGTATCTCGTGACCATAATTAAAAGATTTTTTAGAATAATGTCTGTTTAATTACAATTTATTTTTTAATCTTACTTTATTGGAATAGCAGCTGGAAAAGCAACATTTTTAAAATTAAAGTTGGGATGCTTATGTCTGTTTACACCTAATTAATCTTTATGTTCCAAAGGATATAGTACACTTGGTTCATTGAACTCTGAAATTTCAAGTATTTAAATATCGAAATTGAGGATTAAGCAAATATAATTAATAAAAATTATACTGTCTTTAAGTAAAATTAAGAT